TGAAAATTGTTATTTCTTTTTGTTTCTAGCCATCACCACCAACACATGGTACCACACAATTATACACAAATTTCAGAATTTCTCCTTCTGGGATTGTCAGAGAAAGCAGAGTTACAGCCACTCATATACATGCTTTTCCTTTTCATGTACTTGATCACTATGTTGGGAAATCTGATTATCATCCTGGCCATCTGCTCTGACCCACATCTCCACATGCCCATGTACTACTTCCTGGCAAATCTCTCCTTTGTGGACATCTGCTTCACCTCCACCACCATCCCCAAGATGCTGAGGAACATCCAGACACAGAGCAAAGTCATTGCCTATGCTGGCTGCCTCACACAGGTGTACTTTTTTCTGCTCTTTGCATATCTGGATGACTTCATTCTGTCTGCAATGGCCTATGACCGCTTCGTGGCCATCTGTCACCCCCTTCACTACACAGTCATCATGAACCCCCGGTTCTGTGGTCTCCTAGCTCTGGTATGCTGGGTCGCTGGCATTTTGGCTTCCTTGCTGCATGGCTTGATGATGCTGCGGCTGTCCTTTTGCACAAATGTGGAGATCCCCCATTTTTTCTGTGAACTCAATCAGGTTGTCCACCGTGCCTGTTCTGACACATTTCTCAATGACATAATGATATATATTTCATTAGTACTGCTGGGTGGTATACCTCTCACTGCAATCCTTTACTCTTACTCTAAGATTGTTTCCTCCATACGTGGGATCTCCTCAGCTCAGGGCAAGTATAAAGCATTTTCCACCTGTGCATCTCACCTCTCTGTTGTCTCTTTGTTTTACTGTACAAGTCTAGGGGTGTACCTTAGCTCTGCTGTAACGCACAGCTCAGACTCGAGTGCTATAGCCTCTGTAATGTACACGGTGGTCACACCTATGCTGAACCCCTTCATCTACAGCCTGAGGAACAAAGACATAAAGGGAGCTCTGAAAAGATTCTTTGGGGTCATAGCTATGAAAGTGTCCATTTTTCTGGGTCCAAGGTAATCAATGATGGAGGGTTGAAATTTTGAGTCCAAAATTGCTATTCTTTGATCATATTGTGGGAATAGTACTTGCTCTTCTACTAATTTCCTGGAATTTTCATTTCATTGACTTGAAGCACTGGTGTTATTATGACTGACCTTATAACTACTTTCTCTTCGCTCATTTTCTTACCTTCTTCTAGTCTTTCCCATCTTGGTTCAGAAGTATTTGGAATTAACCTTTTTTTCATGGGACAACACAGATTTCCTACTCAAATATTATGTCATTCCAAATAATTTTCTCTAGACTTATCTTTTTAAATGTAATGATCTTTATTACAAATGTTTAATAAACTATACTTTGCAATTAAGGTTATTTATATGACTGTATTGCAAAGAAAAATAAACATTCACAATTTTCATTTTGTCCCTCATCTCTTTTCTACTTCAGAACTTTAACTGATCTGAAATGTACCTGTAACCTGTAGCTGTGTTTTAGAACTGGCCTCTTGATGATTTTTGTTCATTGGGTTGTACACAATGACCATAATAACTGCAAACATTGATTCCCAAAATATATCATCCAGTGGAATTTACATGGAAAGACAAAGTTGAAAATGATTGACTTAACATGGCATAGAGTAGGAAATAAACTTAAGTGCAATGAAACAGTTATAATCACATATTTTATTGCTATGTAAAATATTTTCATGCTGTACCTCTGTTCACTGAAGTACAAAAGACTGGTGTGCTATGAAAGGGTGTGCACTAGGAATGTATATATTAGAATAAGTGATGATTGCTATATTTTTCTGAATCATGTTCCAATGTTGCCTATAATTATGACTTTTACAGCTACAAACAAAAGACATCTACTTTCCTACATATTATGATAAACATTAAGAAGACAGTTGATATCATCCTTCCCTATTGCCTTCATGCTCAGGAAACTTCATGATCCCCCTTCATGATCTAAAGTGACTGAAGAGAGCTGATCCCTGCCCAACCTGTAATAAAGAGCATTGTTGTTTCTGCAGAAACAGTCGATTCCTTCCACATTCTCTAAAGTCTGTGGAATGCGGTGTCAATGTAGCCACTTGTATACACAGACTCTTAAATTATTGAATGAGAGAATAATTATAGATGGTGTCTCTGTATCTGAATCTAACAGTGTGATCTCCATGTAAAAGGGAGTTTCCTGGTGTTATGCCCCAAGCAAAGAAGGATGGGGCTGAGAGGAAAGAAGGGAATGGGGGGGGGAAGAGAAAAGAGGAGAAGGGAAGGGGAAGGGAGTGAGAAGGGAAGGAAGGAGGGAATGGGAGGGAAGGAGAAGAGAGAAGAGGAGGGGAGGGAAGGAGAGGGAGGAGAGGAAATGGGAGGGGAGGGGAGGAAAGGAAAGGAAGGGGAGGGGAGGGGAGGAAAAGGAAGGGAGGAGGGAAAGAGAAGGGAAGGGGTGAGGGGGAGGGAAGGGAAGGGAAAGAGAGGGGAGGGGAGAGGAGGGAAGGGGAGGGAAGCCATGACCTGGAGGAGGCACATGGATTAGAGTGACATGTAAAGAAGTTGCACCCTTTTTTTGAGACTAGGACTTTTACCAGGGACTTGGCGGACATGAGATGAGACACTTAGGAGTGGTGTGGGTGAGAGACTGGTGGGGAGGCTGACAATGGCAGCCTTTATCTTTACTTGCATTTTGATTTTGTTCTTTTCCTTACAGAATTGCATGGCCCTTTTTTCTCTTTTCCTTGACTCCACACCAGAATGTGCTTCTACCTGTGGCAACATTTTAGCCTCAGACCCTGCTTTGAACCAAACCTGTTTGGCTTGGCATTTACCTGCAGGGGAGGTATAACTTAGGGTGTTTTTTGGAAATACTATTTTGATTATAATCTTTCTCTTCTCTCTATTATGCACAAATTTTATTAAAGTTCTTTTCCATTGAAGATCTTATGCACTAAAAGTAGTTTATTCTTGATGCAGTGAATGCAGAACCCATTTAGAGCAGGCAGGTTTAGGGGTCCTGGAATGCCCTCAGCCTGCCTGCTAACAAAACATGGCAAAAACAAACAAGCAAAAACAGATCCTTACAATTGCTCTCAGTGATGTTTAGCTAGAGTATCAGTTAGCTATTGTTGCATAATTAGCTTTCCTGAATCAACCAATGCCCTCATTATTGAATGGGGATATGCAGTACAAACTGTTGTGAGATTTGTTTAGATACTTACAAGTCTGAATACTACATTGAGTTTTTATAACTTATCTATGATGATGAGTGAACCTATAGTGACATTCTCTCTTGAAACAACGAATGTCAATTTCTTCTCTCTATAGGGTGATATAAGTTAAAAATAATGAGTTCAGCACAAGTGAGTTTCCAGAATTTAATCTCAATCTTCCTCTACCAATCTGGCACTGTGTTTTCTTCCCAGTTTAGAGACAGTTACATGACAAAGTTGTGTGTGCTCTTGACCTGTGTCACTCACACTAAAATTGCGTCTCTGATACATTTATTGGAGCATAATAATATACAATAGACCACACATGTGTACAATATATAATATCCTAAATTAAAGAAGCCATAAAAATTAAGAATAACTATGTATGATTCTGTCTGTATATAACTCAATAAGGTACATAATAGCTTTGATCTTTATTATGCAATACTAAAAAATGAAATCTACCTGAGAATCACTTTCCTTATTTTTTGAAGCTAATTTGATGTAATAAGCCATATTTAGTATGAATGTTGTGTGGAATAAGTGAAATGCTAAATGTACTGTCTTCAATCCAAAGAAAATATTGCAGAGTAAGACTTCTGTGTATGCACCCATATGCTTGTGTGTGTGTGTACTTTTGTATATGCACATTTTGTATTTGCATTTATTCATTAGTGCATATGCATGTGTATGTGCACTTACACCTTTCAAATAAACACTCATAATCACACATATGAACACATAATCATTTATATATAATCATATATATAATATGTAATATACATGATACTCTAGACAATATATAATAATCAAATATATTCATATACATTTGTATGTATGCATACATAGAGAGAGAGAGTGAGAGAGTCACTACTAAATGAGTAAAAGTGGAAGCTCCATAGCAGAGTGTGGCTATGGGAGACAGGAAGAATTTCAACTAATTTTTAAACACAAAAAACACTTTCCTGTGCCTTGGATATAAACAGCCAGTGGGGCACCCTGCTGGCCATTCACGTCCTACTTAGAACCAAGAAAGAAGAAGGCCTCCTCTTAACAATTAAGTCTGGATGACCAGACATTGGCCACCCAGACATCCTCTGGCTTCCCCTTTTTCCTTGCTTATCAGAAGAGGCCAGGACCCTTTCAGTATTGACTTTGGCCTGAAGGTGCCCAGTGGTGCTAGAAATTGTGCAATACATAGATCTGAAACACCAGTGACTTGTGCCAAGTCCCTGTTCAGGTAGGATTCCTTTTGGATTTTGCAGGCCACCCAAGTGATAGGAGCTTAGAGCATAAAATAGAGGAATAAGCAGAACTGAACTCTGACCACTGAATTGTATTCCCTCTTACAATTAACTGTTAAATTCAATGAACTGTTTTTCCTTACCTGCTCCTAATGGTCAACCATTAACCTGCTCCAATTGCAGGCCAGGACACCCTGCTGGAAAGACTGAACACATTGAACCCCTCCTACACTGCTTGTCTCCTGGGTGAGGAGGCAGAGAGAGGGGTGACAACATAGTCATTAAACCAGCTCTGGACAATCTACAGGCAAAGCCAGGAGCCAAAGGTGGGGCTAGAAAAAGTTAATCTCAGCAAACCTAACTCCAAAGGGAGAAATTCCACCAAGAACAATGAGAAATTCCCTTAAGAACACAACAGAAAGATGCCACTTCTCTGGCAACACAGATGCTGCCCCGGGACTGTCCGCCTGCATCGATGCAGCCTCCTCTCTGATCCTGCCCCTTTCAAGAGGCAGCTCCTGGCCCTTTAGGAACTGCCCATCTGCACCTGTGCCCTTTCTTCCTTTCCTTTTCCCACACCCTGCCTTTCCCGCTTACAATAAAGCTTCATTTCTAACTAACTTATGCTGACTCCCATGCGAATTCCTTCCTGTAAAGAAGTCAAAAACCTCTGAGGTCCCCAGCATCCCAGAGCCCATCTCAGAGAATCGTTTTCCCCTTGAGGTCTTCTGCAATTCACCATTGGTTCAATGTCCTTCTTTCCCTCTTGTAATGGTCCCTGAAGCTCAGAGTGAAGCAGTTTTCCTGCCATTTCCTCTGGTTTCCATTCAGATCAGACTATACCAGGGAGGGCCAAGAGTAGGCTGCAGAGGGAGAGGCTTCCAAGGTAAGTTAGGAGAGCCCCTCCTTGTGAGCTCAGTGTCACTAACCCTCATCCGGTACCATCCTGCTATTAGCCTTGGATCTTCGCAAGCTGGGCTCCTGTGCAATTCTCAGCCACTCTCCCTGTCCCTCCAATAAACCACATGGAAGATGTTACTTTCTATCACTTGACTTGCAGCTCACCAGTGACCATGCTCCAGGTGCATATATTTCCCAAATCTCTGGCCTCCCCTTGGATCAGGGATTTTTTTTTCCCACATGCCCACAGCTCAGAGCAGTTCTCTAAAGCTCTGCCATCTCCTGTGACACCAGCTACATAATTGCACTAACCATTACCCATAATACATCACCACTGAGCCTCCCCTTCCTGCTGTGTGAAGGCTGTGCCCTTCTCCCCATGGTGTATACCCTTGACCTTTCCTGACTACTTACCACACAAACTCCTCCCAGCACTGTTTTCTTCCTCTGGCTCCATGCAGTCCAGTCAGTTAGCCATTTATTTACTTATTTATTGTTATTTCTCCAGGGCCCAGAGATGAGTCATTTGACTTGAGCATCTCAAACCAAAGTTGTTCTTCATTTCTGTGGTCCTCTACTTTCATATCTGACTGGACCGTGGCTTATGGAAAAATAATGAAGAATCTTAACTGATCTCAAACTTAATATTAATGTGATGTGCCTGA